ATTGCCAAAAAAGAAAACATATCATAAAAATGAACATAATAAAGCAAATAATGGAGAGCCTTTTGTTTCGTTGCTACAGTAGCTGTGCAAATAAACTAGAGAAAATACATACTAAAATGAAACAATTGTCCTTCCTAGAAATGTTTGCCAAGCCTCCAAAGAGTGCTCAGAAATGTAAATATACAGCTCATGTCATTAAAAAAAATATGGCAGCAGCTAAAAAGACTAAAGTGAGATTGCATGTGGGGCAGTATTAGCAGAGAGATTTTTTAAAAACATATTTCAGGGTGTACTTCGCAAACATACATATTTCAATATTCACATTTTCACTTTTCAAAACAAAATATAGCTCTTCTCTCTCATTATAATCTTTTTTAAACATTAATTGCATATAACTTTTTTTAAATTCATTTTATATATACTTTTTTGTTTCTCTAGCACCCTTGTCTTCAACTAAGGGCTTGCAGAAAAGACAGTCATGCAAAGTAGTCATGCTGGTAAACAAAGTTACAAAAATGCATTATCTTTTTTCTTTTCTCTTTTGTTTATCTCAGCGGCCATCCTTTTCATCCACACATTAGGCTTGAGTCTCTCTTTGCTCAGTCTTTTAAAATAGATTTCTCCTTTGAATGTGGGCAAAACCTTTCTTCTTTTTCACCGATAACATTTTCCTGGACTATGACTCCATTTCACATTGCAATATATTTGCATCATATTTTACCGTATCTTCCACTGCAGACTTTTCTTTCTGATTGCAAACTTGCTCCATAGCCACATATAGTTGATTTGTTTATCAAAATATAGATTTGTTCTTTGTACACGTCCATCCTTACATCCCTTGGGCTAATTTCTCCCTTTTTTCTTGGGCTCCTCTGACGGACCGCCGTTATCTTGACACCAACTTGCCCATGAAGCAGTTGTTGGCAGCAAGATGGGCTAGCAAGAGCTGGGGCAGTATGCATCTGGGAATTCTTGTGCCTAATTGGCAGTGTTGGCCTTCCTGTTGGGGGCGTGGGGTTATATTATTGGTCCCTTGGAGAATGATTATTTCCAGCTAGCAAACATGTGAAAATCCTTGTGGTTGGGTTGTCCTTTTTCATATACTTTGTATCTCCCCCATTTTGGAAAAAGAGATGTCCGTTTGTCCTCCTTGTGACTCCAGTCAAACAAGGAAAAACATACTTGCTTCATTGTGCACATGGGAGAAGATGCTAGTGGCAGTTTAAAGGACTAACCATTTTGTTTTATTAGAGGAAGGATGTTCACCAAAATGTGATAAACCCCACTACTCCCCAGTCTATTATACATTACAGGTCATTCAACAAGTGCATGCCACAGGACTAAGAAAGTCCAAGTGGATTTCAGAAAAACTCAGTACATGAGAGATAAAGAAGTCCTTTATAGGCCTAGTACCAATTCCACTTGGTGAAGACTAAATGAGCAGTTTGAGCCAATGCTACATGTGCTTGATTGGTTTAGCCGGACCACTAGTGCTTCTTTTGATTTGGTAATGGTGCAGGGCAGTGTTATACTGATAAAGGTGAATGGAAGACATGATTAATGGCAGAAATTACAGCATACCTTAGTGCTTAGGGGATCTAAAGGATCACACGCCTTTAAATTTAGTGCATCTACGTTTGTTTTTTTTTGTTTTTTCATTTTTGGAATGTATAATTTATTAGACTAGTACTTTGTCTCTCATGTACCTTTCATTTCTTTTCATTGGAAAGGAACGTAAGAGTTAAATGACATCGAAAAGATCTCTTGAATGCATAATTTTTTTCTCTCCTCAAACTAATAATGAGTTTAGTCAAGTTAGGTCCCAGCCTACAAATGCTACAGTATGTTAGCAGAGATGCTACATTGTACAGTCAGTCCTTTGTGAAGTAGTTGTAGTTGTGTTGCTCAGGTGATGGTTCTGAGTTGATCATTATACAAGACGGTGGGTATGATGTTGTCGGCTGTGTCGTCTGGAATGTGTAAACAGGAGTCTCTTGTCTCCCAAAGTCAGTCAGTGCAGTGCTCAGTCATTTTGCAGGAAAAATAAAAGTCAAATGGACTGTGGTCCAAGTGTGGTTGGAGTTCCAAGAGGCTGCTTTGGTAACAATGTGAGGAGCAGACCATTTATATTCACCATTGACCTCTGGTCTTTCTCACGTCACCCAGAGATCCATCCATGTCACGTGTGTTGCTTACAGGGCTCCCGTTGCAAATGTGTGTTTACTGGTTACTGACTCCTCGTAAGAGAAAAGGCGAATGCTAGAAACTTAACACTGCAAAGACAAGAACAGAAAGCCATTACTAGTGGTCAGGAGAGGAAGAATGCACATTTGTGTGATGATACTAAAATCAATAAGTGTCACAGTGTATAATCCATGTGTTGAGTAGTGTATACAAAAGGGATCACCATTACCTGCACTGCAGCTTATAGCTTGCCAAAATAAAGCGCACAATTACAATATTTACTTACTAACAGTTAGCACAGCTATAGTTTATCATTTGTCTGTAATATATAAAACTCATATTTCACATTCACATTTGTGAGACAAAACATCATCATTTAACCATAATGTTCATAAAGGAAATATTACCAGTGTAAATTCCAAATAGCCTCTTACTAAAACAGCAATAGCTGATTTGGAAAAGAAAACGTCTAGAGTGGGATGGTTGGACCAGTTCTTTTTTTTGTCATTTTTATCTATTGGTGATCAGATGATCAGGTAATATAAAAAATGTTGTAAATTACTGGTTCATATGGATTTAATGTGACAGTGTATATACATTTACACATGAACAAAAACAGCATTACTTACAGGAGGAGCTAGTTAAATCTAGCTGTTTGCATGAATTCTAAATGACATCGGAGCCTACGTAGTCCTCATAGAGGCACTTACAGAGTTCATTCTGATTATTTAAACAGTGTTTACATTAGAGAAGATCCTTGATAATTTACACATTTCAGTCAGATTATCTGATAAATTACAAATGTAGTAATGCCTTTCTGTGGTTACATTTTACAGTACCAAAAGAAGCCATAGGCCTGTATATATTGATATATCTGAAAACGTCCATCAAATGCCTTTCTGTGCGTGGTTGATTTGTCCTTCTTTGGATGGTTGAAGACTCACAGGGTGTCTTGCTTACTGTACATCCAGTCAAAGTCATGTCCAAAACATTTTTCAGAGGATAGAATCAATGTATACACATGTTCCAGACCTTATAAAATAAAAATAAACTTGCAAAAAATATAACTCAATCAACACAATGCTCTTGATATGTTGACTTTTTTGATCAAATTAAAATCACACACAGGTTATTAAAACATATTTCATTCCAGAAAGGTTTTAAATCTTTTAGATTCAGCCAAATAAGGCCTTGTTTTAACTAAGCCTCTAGATCTCAATCTCAACTTTGTTGTTAAGTTAGGACATTAATATAAACAAAAATCATTGTAATCAGGACTATGGACAAAGACAGTAAGTGCTGGAGTAATTCTAAACAATTCCCTGATGAGACTTTGTCACAAAGTCTGTCCTAAAACAAAATATTCTCTTATAATCTGTTTATTCATACCTTGAAATGTACTCTAAATCTACTCAACTCGACATATAAAAGAAAGGACAACACAAACAAGAACAGTACAAAAAGAATGGGACTGTCAGGTGATGATGTCAGCACTCTGGCTTCAGATACTTCCGGGTCCAATAGAATCCAAAAGAATTCCTGTGAATTCTCAAATTAATTTCCCCATTATAATCTGGGCCAACAAATAAAAATGTTAAAGCAAACAACTGTATGTCAAAAATAGTTACATCCTCTCACGTTATTTAATGTGAAGTCATTTCTGTCCCCTGCTTTGTCTTTAATTCATCCAGAGGCTCCTTAAGCCCCTATTTCTGTGGTTTGTGTTTATGGATCCCAGGTCTCCCTCGAAAAAGAGATTTTTATCTCAAAGGACTTATTAAAAACTTAAATAAAAATGGAACTCGGAGCATTTGGACCCAAACAAGCTGTGATGATGTCACACTTAACAGTCCCATAAACACCAACACCAAAGGGTCTAGTAGACAAATGGCTCATGTATTTGTACTGTACACACTGAGTTAGTTCATTAACAGATCATTGTGATCAAAAAGAGAAGTATATTTACACATGTATGTATACAACATGTTTCCAGCATTGTACTAATATTATTGCATAATGTAATCTGTATTACTGAGTAAGTAATAAGAAAACAATTGCTATCTTGCACTTTTATTTTATTTTAATCATAATAAAATAAAAAATACATAAAATGAAATATATGTATTTTCATGAAATTCATCTAATATTTAAGAGTAGTAACATGTCTTTTTCAGTTTCTTGCTAATTTGTTAAATTTTTTTTTTATCTTCAATCAATCAATCAATATGAATCAATATGAATGACTACACTTTTTTGCAGTTTATATATAGTAATACACTAAAATGTTTTGATTAACTGTTCTTCTTCATTTTTAATTTTAGTTTTAATTTGTAGTTTGTGTACCTTTCAGTGAAGTGCAACTAGAAGGCATGAACATTAACAGTGCCAAACGACTTGTACATATTTCTACATACTATAATCTTATACCTAGTAGATGCATTTTTTGTTTAAATGAAGTTTGCTTTGAAGATATTTTCCTAAAATGATGTGACAATGGCATCAGTTGACTTAGTATTTATTTTTTTCATCTATGCAGGTCATTTTTTCCCCCAAATGCTTGTCTCTCTTAATATCAGTTAATACATAAATGTTTGCTAACTCATATTTACATTCAATTCGATAATTTAACGCAACACTTTCTTATTAAAGCTAAAGTTGGTACTATAATATCACTAAACGCATGCATTACTAGTCACAAGTGGTCATATTTTGTTTATTCATGATTCTATTTTTGCTGGTATTGCTATCATGTTTGCACAGTTGAGCTTGTGCCATTTGTTAGTTAACCTCAACTTGTTTTCATGGGCATCATTGAGCTACAAAATGGATGGGATGGGAGAACGGCAGCGGCGCAGTGGGCCTGGGGTTTCATATGTTTCAAAATGTGGACTAGCAATGGGAGCGAGTCGCAGGGATGACCCGGCCATTCCTGAAATATTACTGAGGCTTCGAGATTTTTCATCGCCTGATGCTACATGAATTGCCGTTCATTTATTTAATCAAACAATAAAAATAGCAAAAATTAAGTGTTGCAGTGTTTTAAATAAAAAGTAAAGCATTGAAACAAACATTGGCATTAAAGATGTTCAAAATAAAAATTAAAAAAGCACATAGGTGTGGAGAATAAGGATAAGATAAAGGTCAAATAAAGAAGAAACACAAGGACAGACACAGACAAGACAGACAGGACAAGACAAAACAAGAAAATGAGAGTTATGATATGCCTTTTACATCACAGAACCCCCACCCTCCCAAATAGTTTAGATAGAACTCTTTACACTTAGTAGCTCTGTTGAATAAAACACCCCACATTACATTAGCGTGGCTAGCCGGATTCAGGTTCTCTGTATTTGATACAGAGGAACTGTGTCTGGACATCTGCCTTCCTGCTCCTTGCTGTCAGGAAAAACAAACCTGTGGAAAAGTCACTGTGTATTTGCAGTGACACATGCTTTACATCACCTTAAAATGGACGAAACTATTGGTTGAGGTCCTATTTTCAAAATAAAAAATAAAGATTGTGCATGGGGATAACATAAATTAGTTAACTTCTGCTCACAATTAAAATGAACAGATAAAGAGGTACATTTATTGATACTATTGACAGATAGAGCGAGGCAGTGCCAGGCTAACACTGGATGAGTGTTTTAGACAAAGTACAGTATTATGACGATCTTCAGATACTGAGATGATGCTGACCACTGAAGTTTTGGGCTCATAATCAAGTTTATAGAAATTACACTGATTGAAACAATGAGAATAGGTTCACTTGTGTCCTCCAAACTTCAAATGGCCAACATTTTCCATAAATCACACTGTTGGGACCAGTTTATGTACAATGGAAAATGAGACACTGCATTTGTATGTTAGTTGCAACGATTCACTTGATCTATTTATCACAGTGCATCTTTTCCCACAGTGCATTCCTGGTGTTTCATGCAGACCCTGTTAGAAATGACCAAAGAGAAGCTGTTGTGCTGACAGTGTTGTTGTATCAAGTGAATTAAAACATTGTTACGTAGCTGTTTTCTTCCATAACAATGGACAACTGACCAAAAATGGATAAAGCTTAGCAAAGTCTCTCCACTATCATCCAAGAAAACCTACTGAATTAGTTCATGTTAATTAGACAGTGCTAATATCCAGCCATTATAGGTCAGTTAGTCGTAACACCCACTGTAACGGTATGAAGCCCTTTGTACCTTCCTGATAAAAAGCACTGCTTTATTTGCCAACTCCACCACTCTAAGATGTACATCATTTGAAACCACCAGAAAAATTCCAAGTCAAATGGCAAATTAGTAAAAAAAAATATTTAAAAAATTTAAAAATAAATTTCATGTACCATTAAACATCTGATAAATTCATTGTAGATTATCGAGGTGTTGAGGTGTAGTGTAACAACAAATCCAAAGATACAGATTCAACAGTACAGGTTTGTTCAGTAGTCTTAAACAGCTAATTCCATATTTGTTCCACATATCCATATTCCAAATATTGCTGAAACAAACACTTCTGATGATTAATGTGTAACTCTGATTAATATTCCAAATGTCACCTTGGTGAAGATTAGTCAGGTGAAGAGAATGCTTTGACATGGATGAAATATTTATGAACAAAAGCAATGTTTTGCAAAGAAGTGTGAAGTAAAGTGTGCCACTGCAGTCAGTCAAAGTCCACCCAGTGTATGTGTGCAGCTAGGCTCTGTAATGACATCTTTCTGACAAAGTCACACTTAATTTGCACAAAGGGAGAGTGAGCATACCTACCTACTGTCAGACTTTAGTTACACTTGCACTGCAGTGGCGGCCTGGGGATGGGATGGAGAATGAGTGTTAATCACAGAGGAATGGGATTATGAGAGGGACACACAGGAACAGGGAGAGATACTGCAAATATTCAGAGAAACTGTTTACCACCATATTTATTACATACATCTTTACTCCCTATGTACTGTAAGTATGGGCTTCTTTATCACCACAGGATGTGCTGACTCAATAAAAACTATACTTGGCTCTGGCTCATATTATATCATTCCTTCATTGGATCAATGGCCGTTTCAGATGGCGTTATCTCCTGTTACCAATAATTAGATGTATTGACATCTAGGTTTCGTCAAACAGTAAGCCATTATTATATTACAAAGCCACAAAATCTATTAATTTCTAATACCTTGGTGTCTTTTGGGAAAACATGTGACTGCCGGTAACTGCATATGTCATGTGGGCTGTCATCACTGAGGCCAAATCAGTAAATTCTTTATAGCTAGCATGTACATGCAGTACACAGCATGATAAGTATATGGGATAAGGGTATAAATCTGAAAATATTTGCAGATTTGATGAATAGGACAAACATAATGTACTGACAGAGAAACTATAGCATGCATTACAGTGTTAAAGACTATGAACAGAATAAAAAGACAATGAAGTGTTATAACTTCAAACATTACTCTGGTTAACTTGGAACTTTACACTATTTCAATTCACTGTAGCCGACGTACTCATAAGCAAAAGCATTATTTTAAGCAAATACTGAAGTTTTAGAGTGGTGGAAGTGGTCATTTCCTTTTGATTGTTTTTCTTTTAGTTTCCAATTGATTAAAAAGGCAAAACAAATGAAGATAGAAATACAGGAGGGACATAGGGAAGAGTCAAACTTGGGCATAATACACAATAATGAAAAATAAATAAATAAATAAATAAAAATACATAAAACCACAGATACAGGGAAATTATAAAAATAACCTGTAACCTGGTAGTACAAACATTAAAAATAAGCACTCACAAAATGTCACAATTATAAGTGCACAAAAACACACATCAACAAGAAATTATAATAACAAAAGGATTTTAATTCACACAGTATTATTTTTTTAAAAAAGGATAAATGATGACAAAAGACACAGATTAAAAAAAAAGGGTAATAAAAACAGTTGGACCTTAGTGAGCCATGCATATTGCATTTAGTGAAGTCAACACTAAAATGTAGCTAACAAAAGTTGGCTAAAACATCTTATGCATGTACAGAAAAAGTGAAGCACACAAAACAAATACTTAAAGCATGAGAATCCCTCTTTAAAAACAATTATATTAATAGTAGCAAATACAGTCTTTCCCATTTACAATGCCCCAATGCCCTAAAACTTAAATGATCTGGTGTCAGCTAACAGTGTGAAGCTCAATAAGACTGTAAATGTATCTGTACAGGTCTCTGTGCTGGTAGTGATACTGCCGCTTTAAAGAGGGATTATGCAGCATTTAAATAGCTTTATATCAACAGTTAAAACTGAGGCAATGTCAAGGTCCTCTGAATGAGGCACTTGAGCAGAAACTGCTTACCTTAGACTGTGTGTGGCCCCTTTCAATCAAGTCTGTCATTGCATTTGTCTGTTTTTCTAACTTTTGAGTATTTCAGTCACCAAGTGCAGCTTGTAATCCTTTTTATCCAGGTCTCCTCAGTGAAAACACAAAAGCCCTGAGCTCTGGACTACACTAGGTACTGAAAGCCCAGTTCATGGTCCAGGGAATAGTATTTCAGATCCATTACACGCTGACAGGACAGTACAACACTTTTGTAAATCAGTTTGGTGATAACTGATTTGAAAGTCAAGATGTGTACAATATTTACTTGTTTTCAGCGTGGCATGTTTCAAGAGCTACTATCCCTTGACCTTCATAGCTCCATTAACCCAAGTGACCTTTGGCCTTGGAAAAATTATGTTTGTTCTACACCACTGCACTCACTGTCAGAATTGAATTGATCAAGGTTCGCCAATTGATTTCTACATAAAACATACACATGGAAAACTGCACCTGTCGTGACTCATTTATGTCTTCAGGACAAGTGCTTATAATTGAGGCATAGAGACATAAACATATTCAAGGATTAGATCATTTAGACATATGCTAGTGACATATACTAGTGACATACTGGTCCAAGGTGAAGGTCTTTGGGGTAAGGAGCAACACGAGTAAACACACTAGAAGGGAAAACCAAAATAAGCAACACACGACAACACAATCACAGCACTCAGACGGCTAGACAGAGACACAGTGTAGACATATAAGAATGAAGGAGCCCACATACACACGCGTGATATGACACAACCTGAAGAGAGAGACACAACAACACAAGCACATCAGACAACACGGTACCCCTGCTCCCACTCAATCTTCACTCTGTCTTTTATTGGTTATTGACATAGGACATGACAACTGGGAGAGTTCTACTGGAAATGCCTGCATGTGTGAACGCCCACACAGACGCACTCATTCTTAAGATTGCTGTACACATACACAGTTACAAAGTGATCATTTGTGTGTCTCACAATAAAATCCCATTTTAAACATATTGCACATGATTTAAACTCATTCATATCTGTGCTGTACTGAGCTGGCAGTGAGTGCTCTCAGTACAGCAGAGAAATTGAATTTCTGTAACAGTATTATTATGTATTTAATATTATAGTTAAATGTAACTCCACTTTTAACACACACTTTTCCTGAAATTATGTTAACTCAATGAAAAATTAATAAACAACATTTATTCTTGACAACTTCCAAACCAAGAGCTTACTTTTATTGCTACCAATGTTACAGGCATACTATGCAGGTTTTCCACTGTTTTAATATGAGTCAGTGGAAATCCTAGTGCCAATAAATTCTCACATCTTTGCATGTGACAAAAATGCATGGGGTACTTTCCTGTTTTTCACAATGTGGAATGTAGAGATGTAGTTTTCTATGTTACTTGTGTTTTAAGTACTTATGTTTTCATGTGTTTAACATAGTATGCCTTCAGTATAATCAGACATATGGAGGGTTCACTCCAAACACAAGACAGCATACTGTAGTGTGAAGGAAATGTAGTGGTGTTAAGTGCTTTTAAGAGCATGCTGTGTGACAGAGCCAGATCAATGTTTCAGTTGCAAAATAATAAATAAAATAAAAATAACTAGGCTACAGGCTCCTTGTTTTTGACTTGTTTTCCGTGTTACCTCTATGCGCTATGGTTTGATCCAGGAGGAGGTGGAGTTTGCATTGAGGTCCTGCTGTAACAGAGACCCTTCCATCTTATACCAATCCTCAGTCAGAGGGGAGTCTGGGCTGGCCGCCAGGGCTGCTGCCTCTAGTTTGGTGTCAACAGGGGGTTGTTTGGAGGGAGTGTGAGGGAGTGTTTTGGTGCAGGTTTGGCGATAGTGGTGGTTGGAGTTGGTTAAAGTAGTAAATGGATTAAGGTGTCAGGTTTTTATGAGCAAAACATGATGCATATGGGATAATAAATAAAGGCAACATGTAGCACAAAGGAGAATGGGGACGGGGAGAATGGGTAGGATAGAGGGAAGGGGGACCAATGTGGGGAAGAACGGGAGGATTTAGGGGTCGCCACAAGGGGGGAGACAAGCAAAAATGAACAGGGCCAGGCCAGGCAGGATAGGAGAGAGAGAGAGAAACAGAGGAGAGGTGACGAGAAGAAAATTAATGCATGGTCAACTGTCTGAGTCTAGAAGACAGAGAAAGACAGATCTGTTTCTGATCATGAATGAATGTAGCATTATGGGACAGGCAACCAAGTTCTGACATACACACGTGATGGAACAGATGACACAACGCAATAAGCCACATAAAAAAAGACAAAAAAACTAGAGGGACAGAACATTTTAAAAGACACAAAACTACACAAAGCAGAGATGAGACAAAGACAAGATGAATGTGAGGTGGAAACAAATATAGCAGAGCTGAGTATGTGTATATAATTTGTTAGTGTTGGCTAACTTGTATTTGGAGCCATTTTAGTTGTCGTCAAGGCATCCAAAAATTATGTCTTCTTCATTTCACACCAAACACATCATCAGTACTTACCCACTTACCTAACATATGCCTACAACATCGTAACTATTGGCGTCACTGTGTGTTATATAAGGTATGCAAAAGAAATCCGGTGCCTGGTGCGAAACATACCTTTCCGCACATTCCCATCTGTGGCACGGAATTCCCTGGTGTTGAGCAGGAAGCAGGCACGGTCCTGCTGGTAGCGTTCCCGTGTAGGCCCCCGCCCAATGGGACTCCTCTCGTCTGGACTCAGCACTTGGTCGATGGTGGGGCAGTCCTCATTTGCCAAAGCAGCTGAGGCCGCATCACCATTCTGCTTCGAATCTACAATGGGGACAGATCACAGATTAAAAAGATAAGAAAGACTAAATCATTTTTGTACAAGAATTTATTGGAAGTAAATTATTGGTATTAGGAAGTAGAAGTGTTAGCTTTCAATACTGAGCTGTACTGAAGGTATAGTGAAGGTGACAGTAATAAGGGATTACTAGTGCTTCCAGAAAGAAAATATTTGAGGTTAAATTTAGTAGATAATTGAGCCCATTTTACTCCTGTGCAGTTTGTTTTGCACTAACAGATGGACGCCTCTAGGCAAGTGTGGACCCACCACTTGATCATAAATTACTCATGAGATCCAATAGGCCAGTCATTTCTCTGGGGTGGATTTACAATAAACTCGGCAGTCCTCCCACTTCTTTCTCTTGACACTAGCACATCGCCAAACCCTGCACTTCATCACATTTTTTTTGTTGTTGCAAGAAATAAACAAGTAATTCTTTTCCAAATTGATGCTATGGAGGGCTGCCACTAAACATTTGGAAGTTGGCAGGCAAAGATAAACATATTGATCATTGACATACAGTACTGAAGCAGAAATTATTCCTACAAGATCACTTATTTGGTTTGTATGTTTTGCGGCAAATTTGTATATAATGTATGCCCAGAATTACAGTATGTAAAACGTCTCACCTCTATTTATCTCTATAATTTCTTCTTGGGCGAGAGGACAGTCACCCCCTATTCCCCCAGACCCCATTACCCCACCAAGAACATTTCCCAAAAGTCTTTGTGGTGATGCAGTAGCCATTGCCAACGCATCAGGCTTGCAGTAGTTGGGTGACCCTGGTTGGGGAGCTCGAGGGATATGTTTGTTCTTCTTTTTGGGCAGCTTTTGTTTGGCCATTGCCAGAGAGTAGTACATGCCGAAGTTGTTGACAATAACAGGTACGGGCATAGCAATGGTCAGCACACCAGCCAAGGCACAAAGCGCGCCCACCAGCATTCCCGACCACGTCTCTGGGTACATATCTCCATATCCCAGTGTGGTCATGGTCACAACGGCCCACCAGAATCCAATGGGAATGTTCTTGAAGTTAGTGTGGCGACTGGCAGTCGGGTCATCTGGGTCGGCACCAATTCTTTCGGCATAGTAAATCATAGTGGCAAAAATGAGGACACCAAGCGCTAAGAAGATAATGAGCAGAAGGAATTCATTGGTGCTGGCTCGAAGGGTGTGGCCAAGGACGCGCAGACCTACAAAATGGCGAGTAAGCTTGAAGATTCGGAGGATACGGACAAACCGGACAACACGCAGGAATCCTAGGACATCCTTGGCAGCTTTAGAGGACAGACCACTCAGGCCTACCTCCAAATAGAATGGAAGAATAGCAACAAAGTCAATAATGTTTAGGGTGCTTTTGAAAAATTCCAATTTGTCTGGGCAGAAAGTGACTCGTAGCAGCACTTCAATGGTGAACCAGATCACACAGACCCCCTCTACATATGTCAACCAACTGTCAGTCACCACCTCATATACCATCTCTTCTCGGGTGATGTTTCCCACTGTGACATTCTCAGTCTTGTTGAGAATCCTGTTGAAGGCCTCATGCGTCTCCATGCAAAAAGTGGAGATCGAAATGAGAATGAAGAATAGGGAGCCAAACGCCACATACTGAGGAAAGAAAGATAGAAAAAAGCAGAGAGGGGGAGAAACATACAGAGTTGTTAGTTTTATAAAGTTGTAGAAATTCAAAAGTTTGTTCATGCACATTATTTTTCATACACATTTGTTTTAGTAGAAAAAAGTTTAAATAAAGAGAAATAGAAAAGTCAGTCACACAAGTCAGCAATTTCCTGAAAGCAAGCAAGTCCAAGTGTTTGAGAATGGTCAAGTCTGTGAAATAAACAATGCTGCCAGGATGTCTAAAGTAATGTTTACCATGTAAGGCAGCACTTGGTGTCAACATAGCTTAGAGCTTTAAAGTGACATGGGACATTGGACAGGACTGACGGACTCCTTGTCACAACAGCGGTTTCTTGTGCTGGTGTTGTTGAACAAGTATTCACAGGTTTGCAAAGACTGAACAACACAGAGCCCTCAGTCTTTTGTGTTGCCTAAATTGTACCGTGCATTTTTGTCTTTGTTTTACACGTGCTGCTGTTTATCTTACAATTTATGAAAAAAAAAATAATCTAAAGGTGTTTTTGCCCCTTGAAGGGATTGTATTGTTGCCTTTTTGCAGGTGGTATTATTTCATTGTTCTGTAGCTTAATGCGTGTTTGCTCTGTGTCCACACCGGAGGACGCAGTGCAGAAAAAAGCCTTCACAGGATTTCCCAACATTAATATTATTTTACAAACCTTTCCTTTAGACCTCCCTGTTCATATACACCAAGGCAGGGCTAGACTCCAAAGTGAATGACAGTGGCGTGCTAACACTAAGTGTGGCTTTAGCACTGTCTCTCAGTGCGGTCCATTCCTGCCCTGCCTACAGTGTATTTATAGATGTAGTATACTTTGTGCTTTATCAAATAAATAATAAAACACAGACATGGCCTGAAGAGCCACAGAGAAAGGTAATTCATACTTGAGTGGATCCCATATAGTATGAGGGGCCTAAGTGCCTTCCGTGTTGTGCGTGTCACTCTGCATCTTAAGCATTATGCCCTTATGTAATAATAAAGTAGAAACATAATGAAGCAATTCCCGGTTATTTTTTCCTTAAAAGGTTTCCCATATTTTGTTGACGTTTGACAATTGAATGAGAGCATATAATTATTGCCTGAGTGCCTTTATGGCAGGAAGTAACAACTTAACACTTTTAGCAACTGTATGTATATTCACTGACAAGCAAAAACTCTTAGTAAGTAATCTTCCAAGAGGGATCATCAAATCAAATTAAATGTCTATTCTAATTTCTCCTATAAGCCTATGATCTGCTTGCATTTCTTGGCTCTCTTAGCCAGAGCAGAGAACTTCTCCATCACTTTCTTATACTCATCCCAACTACTCCATTGCTCCTCCACCTTTTTTCTCCTCTTCTATTTCTTGCTAGTCTGTGTCTGACCTACTTTTTCAGATTGCGGCAGTGCTCTCTGCTTCTGTGACTTGAAAACACACAGTGAGGTTCTCAATCACCCTCTTGCCTGAGCCCCACACTAGTCCTCTTGTCCCAACCAAGCTCCAGCAACAGTGGGACTGATCCAAATATAATTGGCTTGGCAGCAGAAACACAAATGAAAAATGTCCTAAAAGAAGATTAATTTGCTTCTTTATGATATATAGTGCAGTAGTTCTCAAACTGTGGCAATTCTCCTGTTGCGTAGTCCTAGTTTAGACCTACAGTATAATACAGTATAGTCTTCTTATAGAATATAAGTTTAGACCTGGTGGTAGGCCTACTGAAAACGCAAAATATTTTCTTAATGCTGGTGGTATTTCATGTGAAGAGAACCACTGATATATTGTAGTAACTGTATATAATAATATGACACCCACAGATTATGATTTTTTTTCATTTGAACCTGAGCTGGAATATTGAGATAAACCAACTTCATACAAGAAACAGGTAATCTGACTTTAGGAAAGTTGTGGACAGTACATCATTGTAAACATTATCACAACAAAGTGCATGTTGCTGGGCGATGCTGTCAGCCATGCCAATGGATAGGTACAGTTCAAGGTAGAATGCAATGGATTGGTAACACCATTTAAGAAAAATGATATCAGAGAACGAAGCAAGAAGAAGAACAGAGCAGTGGTCATGTATGGGGATAGGGGACTCTAAATGCACCTTAGGTGGGTAAATGAGAAAGAAAACAATTATGGCATGGTTAAAAGCTCTTAAAAGACAATTTTACATCATCTCTCTTTAAAGAATCAATCACTTCTACAATGGTAGTATTAGGTCCTTGCGTGGGATCCAGAATACACACTTCTTCAATACCTTACAAAGATGTGAGTCTGGTCACCAGTGAATCTCCTCAAGTTCAGAAGGAGGTGATTAACATGTGGATTAGCCAACCAGGGACACATGACATTTTTTTAATTCATTTTAAAAAATCACATGGGGCTAAAAAATATTTCAGATTTCTGTAGAATCAATGAGTGAAGCACTACACTGTTAATCTGAGATGAGATAAATTTGATTTTATTTGTAAATGACAGGTGACCAGTGAGCTCCTTCATTTCACATGTGTCACTAAAAAAAAACAATTCTGACTGCATGATCTCGTTTGGCCGGACTTCAGACACGACATAGGAAGTGGGGACCAGACTGATATCAATCTGTACAAAAAAGACAGAAATATCATTCTGGATTTGCCTGGCATTCCATTAATGAAGAAAGAATTTTTGTTCTGAAGAAATGTAAGAGGCATCAAATAAGAAAGTACTCTAATGTTCTGATAACCTAAGTGATAGCCTTATTAAGTTGACTTCCTAAAAATACCAAACAGACTGCAGCCCAGGGTTATATTCTAAGTAGGCTACACAGGTGGAGGCACTGTGGGGGACGGACAGGTGGGAGGCTGTCCAGACCGTGAAGATCCAGGCGTGGAAGAACATATAAGAACAAATTGCAGCAGTCCAAAAGAAAGGACACAGTAATAGATCGGGGCAATAAATCAAATTATTTTGATTAACTTGAGGTTTTAACCATCAACAATGTGAATAATTAAAAAGCTGTCAAATTAAGGTTTATTATGAAACAAGTTTACTCCTGACAGGGCAGAGTTATAGTGCAGAACAGTAACACTTGAGTATGGAATAAATGAAGATGAATATCAGGGCTGTAGAGCGAGAAGCTATAAAAATGAATTGAAATTATGGCACAAAAGAAACTGAAATACATACTAAAAATAATTGGTAAAGAAAAAAAAAAAAACAGGTTGAATCTTCAGTAAACACAATTAGATTTTAATTGTAAATGAGTATAAAGTATGAAGACGACAATATTATGGGCTTCCAGATAATATTTTTAAAGACCAGTAGAGCTGACTTTAATTAAATTCAGAATCACCCAAAGTGTGCACAAAAAAATTTAAAAAGAAAGAAAATCCAAATTTTTTGGGGGGTGCCCTGCACAGCGAATACCAAAAGTGAAAGTATGAGTCTCATCACAAAGTATCCTGAGCTAAGCTGACATATCTCATGGTTCAGATGAACTAAACGTGATGTGAGTCCTGCAGAGAGGACTTAAAAACAGAAAGAAGTCAAAGCATGACAGCACAGACACAGAGACGAGGAAGAAAAACCGAGGCAAAGCTTAGGGCATTGCAGACTAACAGGAAATGACAGGCCTCAACTACAACAGTGGCTTGTGTCAACTAAAGAGACAGGAGGAACCCTGTGTGGGAGGGCTGCCAGCATGTCAATATGCACCACTCTCTGAATTAAAAATGTACATTGACAATACATTCAACAAAAGATAATATTAAGCTGTGAGGGTCTGCTCTTTTAAAATGCCCTGTCAGGATTTTTGAGCTGGTGAATCTTCTGTTAAATTTGTTTTATGTAAAATCTTTCCTTAATGCCTCTTCTTGTAGAATAAGTGTCTTAAAACATATTGATTATTCTTGATATGCACAATAGTAAACTGATGAATTCAGAAATTGTTAATGGACTACCAAAAATTAACATGAGATTTTAAACTTTTTTTCCTGCAGATTTACTGATATAGTCTGAACAATTAGATGACAAAACACAATGCAAAACTGTATAGCACATGGCATGTTTTAATTTAGACTCTGGACAATATTTATCAGTCAATAATTGTCAATTATTTTTTTCATTCTTAAACGCTCTCATAAACACAGTCTATTCAGCCTGTCCATTTGTGCTGCAGCTCTTGGCCACTGATCCCACATTAGTTCATTCATGGTTTAGTAATTAAATGCATCACTATTAGAGCATGGGAGAGAACAGTGGATTACATTGTAGATCTGAACATCAAATCAATAAGAATCAATCAATCCCAATTGAAGCCTTTTTAAAAATGCAACAGCATGTCAGGCTGAGATTCCAGGCCCCCCGGTGCCTCCGTATCACACAGACCACACGGGGATGGTGTGTACTCTTTATGGACATGGCATGATGTTAGCAGAAGCACCTCACAAAGCATTGGTGGCTACATGAGCACTGCATTGGTGTGAAGGAGATCGATGGAGAGAGGAAGTAAAGAGGAGGAGGAAGAGAATAAAAGGAGGAGAAGCAATCTGTCACTTCATACTTATCCATCTCCTATACAGTAAATTGTCCGTCCCCTGTATCATAAAGATATATGCGTGTCCGTGTTCGACAGCTCAGAAATATGCAGGCCTGAAGTCCATATAGTGGAGCTACAGCATGCGACACCTGCAGCCCAGTGACCTTCAAGGCCCAATAGAGTCTCCTTGCCTCACCAGACTCTCAAATTAGATTTGGAAAGATCATCAACATAAATTTGAAAGAGATGGAACAGCATGGAAAGATAGACAATAGAATACTACAGGGCTGAGAGAGGATGAGCTGGTGTAAAAGAAAGAGGATGTGGAGAGCGCTGATTGCGTTTCGATGGACAGATGAATAAGAGACAGTAAAGGAATGACAGAACGCTGATGTGAATCTCACCAATCAAAGAGAGGAAGTGCCGCAGAGGGCACCAGCACGAGAGTGGAATAAAGCATTAGAGGA